TTTCTCTTGCCTTTGCTCCTTCCAGTCAGCTACAGTGTCAATGGGAAAACCATCGACAACGCAGAGATCTCATTTCACACAGCATAAGATTCTGAGACTCTATGGGATTGAAGCCAACTGTAAGCCAGCCGTTCAGCGTCCTAAAAACGTTTAACATTGACTACTGCACTTATTTAAACAATTACCATTTGAGAGCTTAGCCATCCACAGCTGAATCGTTTTTCTATTAAGCTCTTCTTGCTCAGATCTCAAATTTACACCTGGAACCATCTAGCTTAGATTGCTAAGGTCAGAAGTCATAAATGTGGGGCCTATTTGGGGGATATACTCAGTTCTCTTGAACTGGCTACACAGGAATGCTCATGGGAACACAGGACTGTTCAGGTCTCAAGCTGTGGCAAAGGTGGTTCTCCACTGGGAGTGGCAACCCAAAATGCAGGTGCTGAGTGGGTGACAGGTCTCAGGAATTAGTGAGATTTAAAAACATGGATTGCATTCACAGCCTGAGATCAGGGGGTTTGTCAGTTCCAGCTATGGGGTACTTTCCAGACACAAGGAAATAGGTTTTGTTCAATTTTAATTGCTACTGGGAATGGAGGTTTTCATGTAAACATTACTCATGTTTAAATTTTAGCAAGTTTAATATTAATAAAAATAGTAAGCAATTACATTGTGTGGGTACAGTGACAAATTAGCATTTAGTCCACTAGTAAGCTATCTATAACACAAAATCATTAGCATTGGGTAGGTGGAACAGTCCTAAAATGAAAACCTGAGGTAGATATGATCTCAACAAACAAAATGCGTTTTTCCTAAATAGAAAATTTAGCCTGTCAGAAATTGTCAAATGTAACCAAAATCAGACTCATTAATTGTGAATTAAAGAATAAAAAATTTTAAAGTACAGATACTATAAAAAAAGAATATCTCTCCAGGACTCTACCACTACCTTCCCACACCCACTGCAATATAGATGGCAAAGAATAACTAAGATGCTCAGATTTGCCATCTGGAGAAGAGGATTCCCCGAACATCATCCCTACCACTCAATGGTCATCATTCCTGCCTGGAGCAGGAATCACACTCCTGTCAATCGAAGATGAGGGATCAGAGCTCAGGTTCCCCAGTTTGGGCAATTCTCTTCCCTTATTTCAGAGGGCAGCAAGGTTCCCTGATTCCAGCATCTTCTTGCAACATTAATTACACCTTCCCATTAGCCCTTCCCTCTAAAGGAGACAGATGTTGGGCTGTTGAGGCAGCTGTCTGCCAGAACTCACAGTAGCCACCACACTCCCACCTGGCACATAACACTCCACTTGTGCAATTAACCTCCCCACCCGGATTCTTGGTGCCAACAAACAATGCCAAAGGCATTAGTACACAGCAGGCAGAGCGCAGCATGACCCCAGGGTGAAGGAATCTCAGTGCTTCCAGAAATTTCACTCAAGGTGAAATTTACTGTGTAACAACCCAGAGCTACATTAACTGCCACTCCTTTCAAAACCACTAGTTTGGGGACAGCCTTAGAATTGTGACAAAAGTTAAGTGGTAATGCACACTCTGCTGGGTCTTTCATTGCAGTTAAATAAAAGACTTCCTAGAGTCTTAGAGCCTAAGACCTAACCACTTAGGATGGAACCATGGAGGCTGGGATCTGGGAACCAACCAAGCTCCAATTCATCTGCATAAACTGAATCATAGCATGGGACGGAAGAGTGAATAGGTAGTTCTTGTTTCTTTATGCCCCCTGGCTGTAGTCACATGAGTTGCAGGGCTACGCTGAGCAGCATTTGCCAGAATACAAGCCACTTAACTAAAATGTATCACTGTGGTGCCACTTTGTAAAAGGAATATTATTTCTGAAAGAGGCTTTATGCTACAAATTAATATGCATATATTCATATCTGTATACATATTTTCTGAGGAGAACCAGTTAGACTTATTGAAAATAAACAAATATTACAACATGCAGTAGGGTTCTGGTGAGTTTACCCTGCTACTCCAATCTATGAACAGGTAATTGCTAAATAGTGTGTGCTTAGAATACCAGCACATGGGGTGTGCTCATGGGAACTATGAAGCCTCGGGCAAAGAACAGGCATTGTCTGTAACTACATCTTCACAAAATTTGAGAGTGTTCTATATGAGCTGCATCACAAAGATATAACTACTTCTGGCATTTTGGCTAAGATCAAGAGGAGTATCCGATTTTATCAGTTTAACAAAAGTTACCACAAGTGGTACTGATAAGCACAGTCCCTGTGAGAGATACGACACTTACAAAGGCATCAGGGGAGATCAAAATGTCTGACGGCTTGGTGGCACCATGTAACAGACATTTAATGTCCAAGTTTTGTCATCTCTAAAGTGTGGTGGAAATAATGTGATTCATCTGTATTCATACACATGTTTACATGAATCTTGGAGTCATTCCTGGAACATGTATTGGCAGAAATCATCTTTGGAAATCACCAGACAGTGTTGACTGGAATGAAGGAGAGATGACCCCTTGTCTAAACCAGGAAATATAAAGTAAGCACGAACTAGTGAGTGATGAATTGTTTTTAAGTATAAAGACAGGACAGAGAGATCAGTCCTAGTTTCTGCCAAAGTCCTCAGCTACAATCTAGATGTGAAACATAATAAAGTGAACTAAATTCTTAAAATGTATTTTAAATTACCCTTTCTCTCTCTCTCTCTCTCTCTCTCTCTCTCTCTCTCCCTATATATAATCATATATAATATATTATATAATATTAATTTCCCTCAATCTTCAAATAGCACATGGGTAGAAATATTCAAAAGAAAGAAAACTAGAGTCAACATTTGCCAAGCATTTTTTTTAGTTTAACTCTGTCAGGTTCACATCCCACAAACTGCATAGATAACACCTTCAATTTGTAAGTCTGAGGCTTTTCCCTTTGTCTCAACTGGTAAGAAAGGAGGCCTTCCCTTGTAGATCAAGAAGTTCATCTATGGGCTAGAGAGATGGCTCAGCGGTTAAGAGCACTGGCTTCCCTTCCAGAGGTCCTGAATTCAATTTCCAGCAACCACATAGTAGCTCCCAACCATCTGTAATGAGATCTGGCGCCCCCTTCTGGCCGGAAAGCATATGTGCAGACAGAATACTGTATACACAATAAATGAATCCTTAAAAAAAAAAAAGAAGTTCACCTATTTTATGGCATCTCTTCTGTTCAAGGCAATGACTTGCACTGAGGATCTTTATAAACATCCTAATGTCATACAGAACATATGGACTTGCTTTAAAAATATTCACTGAAGAGGCTGGGATCACAAACATGAGGAACCAAGTTTTCCCCCTAGAACTTGCATAAAAGAGTGAGGTGTCATAACCTATGCTTGTAAACACAACAGTTGGAGGCAGAGAAACAGGCAGAAATCCTCAGCTCTCTGGCTGGCCAGCCCAGTTTGAGTAGTAAACATCAGGTTAGTCAGAGATTAGCAATCATGAGAATAAAAGATGGACATCAACTAAGAAATAACAACTGAGGGTTTTCTCTGACTTTCATATGTGCACACACACACACACACACACACACACACACACAGCTTTATTGCATTGAAAGTAGGGGGAACTTTCCCAACATCACGTCTATTTCTTTTTAAAGATTTCTATTGGCATTTCTAACGGGAGATGAGTGTGAGTCAAATGAACTCTAGCTAACTGATAATTAACTGCAGCAACTTACATAGCTCAGGACACAGTACTCTTTGATACTAGAATGTAGCATGGCTGTAATCCACACTTATATGGCATCTGAGATATTTAATACCTGTATCATACACACTTGTGCATGTGACTGTGATGCAGTGGAGTCGGTAGTTCTGATGAAGAAAATTCATACAGTGATTGACTAGGATATTCCGGGGATGCAAATGACCTGGTACATGACTGCTGTTTCAGCAGGCACAGTAACCAGTTTTCTCACCTCTCTCAAACATAGTTTCTTAATTTGAAAATGTTAGTATTTGAGATGATATTTAAAGTCCTGAACAAGTCAATCATTTAAGATTCTACCCTTCTAAAGGTCACATTCTAGCTGAATACCCTTCTCTCCCCTGGCATGTATCTTCAAGGCCCTGAAAACCAAGAAGATGTACGACTATGGAAAATACCTACTTCCCATAGTGCATTAGTTGGACACAGCTAAATTTGTTTAGGTCAAAAAGCATCCAATGAAAATCAAATTTCCATTAAACAGAAAAGAAAATGTCTAGAGCGTTTGCCACATGAGAGTGCAATCACAAGCAAAACGGTGCTTCCCTGAGCAAGAGGAGCTATTTGCACATCTCCATTCCAAAGTGGCCATGGCACCCAGAACTCATGTCAGATGCAGTCAGTGCTATTGTTTGTTCTGTTTTCATCGCCTTTGGGAGTTCATCAGAGAAAGCCATGGATTAAACAATGACCTCTGTGCTGAAGAAAGCATCTTTGCCTCCTGCCCATCCTCTCCGTACTTCATTACCTGAGCTCACTCTGGTTTTCCATTGCTGCTGCTTTCCGTATTGATTTGGGGATCTATCTCATTATTCTTCTACAATTTTGCTAATCTACAGAAATGTAAATTTACAGACCATTGTGAATGGGTAGCATTGACAGTAGAAATTATCCTTTAGTTCTCTAAAAAAAAAGAGCAAGCTTTTCTACTGAAAATACAGTTGTTAGGCAGAATTGAATTAGCCTATACCTCTGTTTTTAGTACTGCTTTTAGGTACTTTTGTTTAGAAATTACAGGAACCAGTCCCGAGCATCCCTTGAGATAATATGCTGTAGAATATGAGGAGGAGAAGAAAAAGGAATTAGTCATGGTTGTGCCCTTCTGCTAAGGTTTCTCCCAATAATATGGTATAACTTGTTGCACTGAGGTACTCTCTTGACTAAAGGAATAATAGGCCATGATAGCCTATTATTGAAGATATAATAATATATTTTGAAGATATCAACAATTTTCTCAACCTTGTGAGTTGGCTTTAAAAAATGAAATGTCAAAAAAAGAAATACCGGAGGCGCGGGGATAGAAGGAGCACCATGTCCGCGGAAGTCCCCGAGGCAGCGTCGGCGGAGGAGCAAAAGGGTATCTTATCCCAAGCTGGCCTGGAACTCAATGTGTAGCCAAGATGAGTTTGAACTTCTTGAGTACTGGGGTTTCTGTCATGTCCGGTCTTACAGTGCTAGGGATAAAGCCCAGAGCCTTGTACATGTTAGGAAATGGAAGATAAAGTGACGAGTCCAGAGAAAGCTGAAGAAGCAAAGCTAAAAGCAAGGTATCCACACTTGGGACAAAAGCCTGGCGGTTCCGATTTTTTAAGGAAACGATTGCAGAAAGGGCAAAAGTATTTTGATTCTGGGGATTACAACATGGCAAAAGCAAAGATGAAGAACAAGCAGCTTCCTGCTGCAGCCCCTGATAAGACAGAGGTCACTGGTGACTACATTCCCACTCCACAGGACCTTCCTCAGCGGAAACCATCCCTGGTTGCTAGCAAGCTGGCTGGCTGATTAAAAGAGCTGAACTGCAAAAAAAACAAAACAAAACAAAAAACAAAAAAAGAAAAAGAAAAAAAAGAAATACCTTTGATACTACAATTTTATCATCACCATACATATACTAAGTAAGTAATTAGCAATGATCTGATTTTCTTTTGAGAACTTTGTTTTCATAAAGGCTTGGTTTCATGGTCGGAATCCCAAGACCATATTAGGCAAGGAAAATGTATTGTGTCATACAAGAGTGTTGAGTTGAAAGATCATCCATATATTTAGTGTGACAATATAAAACAATATTGTTATTTATAAAGTTCATGCTCAAGTGCCCAGCACTCAAGTTATAAAATAGTGTAAAAAATCCCAGCGTGTTGCATTTATGAATATATGTATATATTTATTCTTCCATATGTATCAATAATAATTAAAGAAAAAGAGACCATGAATTTATGAGAGATGTGTTGGAAGAAGTACTTACATAATTATATTTAATAAAATAATAGCATGAAATCTGAAGAATATAACAATTTTTGAGTATGATTTTAATTGTGATTTGTGTTCGGTCTCATTAATGGGTATCCTGGGCCACAGAAGGCCTGTAGACTGCAGATGGGACACCATACACCCACTGCAGCCAATGTAGCTTTTTACTCTTACACCTTCTCCCAGGGTCTCTATGGCTATTGTGCAGGTTGCTGACGTTTCTGCTAGCTTTTGTCATGGCCATAACACGTGAAACCAAAGCCTGAGATCTCAGCAGACAGCACATAAAGGCACAGAGCAAGGAACACAATACAAAGGACATGTGGCAGGGTGACTTTGTCAATACGCTACAAGAAAGGAGTGATTACACACATATGTGTGTGATTTACTGGTCAGCTGGAAGCAAGACACAGTCTGTTAGTTCTTTACTTCAAGAAAAAGGAAGGAAAACACTGAGTAGACAGGAGACACAGTGCTCATATTTGGGCATGACACTGCCTTTTGATAAAGTAGCAGAGGGTTTCAATTGATTTCTTTATAAACTGTGAGCTCCCGTCTGCACCTGCCCTTGGTGGTGACATCTAGATTCAGCTCATTAGGGAGAAGTGGCTCATTGATACAGGCATTTAAATGAGCAGCATCCACATGAGAATTGGACACTCCCTTTGCTCAAAATCCATATTCTTTCCCAGGATGAGTAGAAAGGGGAAGCCTATTAGGACTGAGTAAAATAAGCCTAAACCTTTCAGGGTTCTGGCCTTTTGGAGGAGAGAAACAAGAATGAAGATGAGTGGATCTTATTGCAATGGTTTCACAGGAACACACATCTATGTTGAACAGAGTCAAGATCCTAGGTGTTCTGAAATACTCAACGGGGTCTCAACTCACTGTGCAAAGGATAGAATTCATCCCTTCCATTGCCTTAGCAATTAGTGTGGTGGTTTTGTCTTCTTCATCTCAGCTTTTTCATTGGATGACAACGTATATCTGATGCACATGAGTAACACTGTAGATTCACTAAATGAATGGTAGTTATCTTCCTGTTGGTTGTGACTAAATTTACTTGAGGTTTATGTTGACCTCATCATTATTCTCAGTGCTGATGAGAAATAAGCAAACTTTCTTTACTACTTTTAGACTTCCTTTACCCAACTGGAGACTTTTTACATTATTTCAATATATGTTTCTTTTCCACCATTACTGCCCCCTCATTCCCTTCAGACAGATTTTCACTTTCTTTCAATATCATCAGGCAAAAAAAATGGGTCTCCAATTAAATCTGAATTTTGAATCAACACCAAATTAATAATTTGTTTAAGTTTGTTCCCAACATTGTATGGGGAATATTTACACTAAAAGTCATGCTACTTACATGAAATTCAAATTTTAACTTGGAATGGATGGAGATATGGCTCAGTTATTAGAGTGCCTGCTTAGAATACAGGAAGCCCTGGGTTTGGTCCCTAGCGCTGTATAAAGCAGGCATGGCTGTAATTGTTTATAATCTCAGAGCTTCAGAAAAAAGGTCATCCTCAGCTACACAATGGCTTGGTGGGTTGAGGACAGTTTAGGCTACATGAGACCCTCTCTCAAAAAAAATAACAAAACAAAACAAAATCAATCAAACGCAACCCAGAAAAAAATGAATTGGTTGTCTTGCTTCTTATTTTTCTTGTATTCTACTCTATGCTATTCTCTTGTATCCTACCCTGCCCTACCGTACCTTACCCTACTCTACCCTTTCATTTTTTCACATCTTATTCCTTCTTTCATTCTTTTAATTGCCAAGGCTGGCATGAGTTGTTTCTTTATCCTTTTATTTTCCACAATAAATTCGCACCGGCTTCCTTTTCACTCTTGGAACAGCTCCATTTCTTAAAGAAAACATTGACAATAACCATGCAAAGCCCCCAGTCCTTGAGTTTACTGGATGGGAAGAACAGAAGGAAATCCTCCTGCCACCATCTGTTCCTCTCTTGCCAGATTTGACATGGGCTGTGGTCTTCTAATTGCTTCTAAGTCTTTCTACCACTTTCCAACTTTCCCTTTGCGAAACTCACCCAGTTTTGGTTGGGTCCAACATATCCCAACCTGAACGCATTCCCATGAGAAGCAAATATGCCCACCCTGGCTATTTATATTTACTTTAAAGGTCTGCAATTCTTACTCAAGGGACTTCAAAATGTGTGTACTGCATTGAAAAAGGTCATGCAGCAGACCCAGACCAGGGGCTGTTCTTTACCTGCATATTCTTGTAGAACAAACAAGATTGTGCATAGGCTGATGTTTTTTGAAGGAATGGTTATCTCCTTCCCAAGTACACTTGCTAGTTAAAAAGTCCTTACAACAATGTTCACTTATGAACCTGCCCATGATGACGATAATTTCAGTGTGTCAGCCACCAGATACATGTGGCTATAAAGAGTACACTGGCAAGTTGTTAGTATCAATGAAAGAGACACAGTTAATGTTAATCAAATGTCATCAATTTAAATTTAAATCAACATGTGGATGTAGGTCATGGTATTGGGCAGTATAGAGCTGTCTGCATCATAAAATTATCTATTGGAGTGGAAAGTGCTTTATTTAGAAGACAAGGAACACTCTAAGGTCATGGGCAAAGTCTAGGACAGATTCCTTAACCAAGATAGATTTTGCCGCTAGGAAATATTTGGCAATGCCTCAGACATTTTCAGTTATCATTCTTAGAATGTGTGCAACAGTGGGAGAATTGCTAGTGACCTTTGGAGAGGTACAGAACCCTTATAAACATCCTACTGTGAACAGGAACACTCCAAACAAGTAATAATCCACAGGAATAGATAGTAGAGCTAATGTAGAGATTGAGGCCAGCCAATGGATGAGGAGACTCAGATCTAAGGGTCCCCCAGACAGTGCCCACCTTCTTCTAGACTTGTATTCCCTCTGTTCTTCAGAGTTTTTCTGACATCTCCTACAAACAGTAAGCAAATTATTTATTTTAATAAGTTATTCTAACTAATGACTTTCCATTTCTTTGACCTTTTGTTTGTTTGTTTTAAGACAAGTCTCTTTGTTGAGCTCAAGATACCCTCCTTCCAAAGCACTATGTATCCCAGGCTGGCCTCTAACTTGTGGTATTTCTGAGTAGACAATTATAGGCATGAACTACAAAGCTCACGCATTTCTTAGACCATTTCTGTCCGAGCCATTGTGCTAAATATTTTTGTGAATCATCTTATCTTTACATAACTCATTCAACACTTGCCTTTATTTTATGGCTGGGAGGCAGTCTTTAAAGGACTGATGGCATTTACCTGAATGAAAAAAAGTCAGACCCAAAAGACTACATATTGAGCACACATAACAGGCAAATACATAGAGGATAAATGAAGTTAACCTTTTGATTGGCTGTGGTGACAACAGAAGAGTCACTGATGGGTGGAGGATCCTTTCTGAGGTGGAGAAAATGTTCAAAATTCAATAGATTCGATGGCTGCACAACTGTAAATATACTAAAATATTTTGAATTGCTCATATATTAAGAAGTATTTTTTGTCTGTTTTTATTTTCCCACCATGCTGCAGATTAAACCTAATGCCTTGAGCATGCCTTGCAAGTGGGCCGTGTCACTAGTTCTGGAATCATACAATTTAAAAATGGAAAGTTTATGTTATATGATTTGTACTTTAATAAATTAAAACTGTAGCTTCATTCACAGTATCTAAATGACACAGTTGCACAAAATTTATAAGGTTTATATTGGAAAATAAAATAAGAAAAATCATTTTTAAAAAGGAGGTAGCCAACCCTTTTTTGCACAACTGGTGTCTCTGGGATCAGGACTGGGAATCAGCCTATCTGGTGCCAGATAGGTGCTTTTCTCATGTGACTGACAGGCTCCTTGCACTCATTCATCTCTTCCTAGGGCCATCGGAAACTGACTTCAAAGATGGGGGGATCTAGGTTAGAATCCTTACTCTACTTTTATACTTCTTAGCCTGGACAAGTGAACAATCTCTTTTTGAGTCACAGTTTCTTTATAAGTGATGCTAATGGCAAACATACTGAAAGATGGTAAAAAAACCTGCTGGGGACTATGCAGAAAGTGGTCATTTGGTGAATCACAAAATTGCCTTTATGCATGCTGTATTGATAAAGCCTTGACAGTGTGGTTTTAGGGTCTTCAAAGTATAAATTCTTTGTTCAGAAAAAGCCACTGGATATCTGGATTGGGTAAGTCTCAGTGACCTCCTAGCTCCTGCGTATGTATACTGGATTTGCAATCAAGATATTGAACTTGCACCTAAAGTTTCTCAAGAAATAATACTGGTGAATATTACATGATGAAAATTCCCTGTCAAATTGGCGGGATCCAGAATCATATAGAACACAAACCTCTCGTCATGACTTTGAAGAAGTTTCTTGACTGGGCTAATGAAAGTGTGAAGGTGTACTCTAAATATGTGCAACATAATCCTATGGAGATATGACCTGGGCTGAATATAAAAGGAGAATGGGAGTTAGCACCAGCATTCATTGCTCCATACTTCCTGACTGCTGATTCAATGTG